TTTTTGCACGCAGGATTTGTGAAATGGCCCCAAGAGTACCACATATTCACATACAATATTAAAAAGAAACAGAGGCAAATGTGGGTTTTTGTCTACATTCCATATTATTTCCAACTCCAACTTTTCATTGCAAACAGAACAATTGTAGTTTGATTATTGGCCTTGCTACAACGTTTTTTCCAAACAGCCATCTTCAGAAACTCAGCATTCCAGCAGTGCAGTTCACCACTCTGCTCCCCTGAAAAGGCAGTTTAGCCTAAGAAATAGATGTTTGCAGGAAAACTCCGGCTGGATATTCTCCCCTTCTTGGCGCTTGACCAGCACAGTGCATCTAAGCCACTGGTTGAAAAAGACTTTAAATCTGTCCAGCCCTCCCTGCAGATACGTTGCTCTGCTGAAGGGAAATTGTCATTACTGTTTAAGTGCCAAAAGCTTGATTGCAGAAAATTCAGTCCTGCTCATACTATAGAACAGGAAGAATCGGAAGTGCCACAGGCAGCCAGGCTCTAACTTGTGGGATGCTGAGTGGAAGCTGTGCTTGCTTGAGGCTCAGACTGATTCAAATATATTTGTTGATGTACCCTGACAGCGTGACACCCCCACAATTTCCCACCACACCCCATGTCTAAAGTTTTCTGCTGTTACAAAGACTGTAGGGCTCTGTCAGTCACTATGCAAACAGCTGTTCCCAAAGACAAATTACTCTGGACACCACTTTAAGACTTCTCCAGGGGTCCCCGGGCTTGACTGAGACATTTATAACAGTGTCTGCAATCTTAAAGGACCTGTAACACTAGGCTTCCCCAATCTTTGCATAAACCCTGGTTTCAGGCAAAACATGATCAGGGACCCCCCAAAAATAACACTGACGAATGTACATACATGAATGAACACGCGCATTCTCTCTCTCTCTCTCTCTGAAACACTAACACATGTGAACACACACACAGGCTCCAGAGCCCTTTCACTGACTGACACACACATACATAGCTTTCAGAACGCTTTGTTGGTCTTCCACATCCCTGTCTTTACTGATAAAACCAAGGAGTGGCACAACAAGCTGCCCACCAAGTAGGGGACATGGATTCCTAGTTGCTTGAGGGAAGAGGTGATGAGAAAAACTTGGGTATTTTCCCTCCAGACCGAGGATGATTTTTCAAGGGGCAGGATACAGCATGTCCACATTAGGCAGCAGAGGTCTGGTGTGCTCTGTTTCCATCAGCAACGGCCATGGGAATATTCAAAGTAAGCAAGATGAAGTTTACTTCAAAGCAGCAAAACCTGGGTGTCCATCACTGCCCTGAAGGTTGGGGTGGGCCAGGGTTCCCAGAAGGCAACTGGACAGGGGTTCTCAGTCTCAAGAGTGCATGACATGGCCTCTCTCAGTAAGGCAGTGGGACACTGCACCTCACGAGGGAAGAAGTGAGACTCTACTGACAGTCAGCAGCTGTCTGCTCCGTACTGTACAAGACTGCACCAAGGTGCCTTGCACTCTCAGGTGCAGACCTAAACAAGAATTCACTCAACGCAGAAAGACTATGGATACAAGTCCCTTCAGAATCCTAGCTCTTCAATGAGCAACAGTGATAGATGCGTGGAAGAAGTATATTCCCAGGAGAGCTCAGACAATGAGGCTGAGAGGGTCCATAAATACCGAGAGACAGACAGAGACAGAGGCAGAGAGAGAGACACCAGGCTGAGGAAAGAAGGTTCTCCTTTAATAAGCTTTGCCACTCTCAGAAATTGCCAACATTCCCTTCTATCCAATAAATTCCTACCAACCAAGAAAAGGGAGTTAATGAAAACTAAATCAATCAAATACTAAACTGTATTCTGCAAAGGGAGGGGGGATGCCAGAAATACCATGAAATGAACTAAGGCCTTCACTCCTGCTAATGATTTTATGTCAGACAGGTACACCATTACTCCTGAGATGAGTAACTATATACAACTTCCAAAAACACAGTATTTCCTCGCAGCTGTAATCTGCAGGCAGCCAGACGGTGCATTTTACTGAAAAAAGGGGGAGGTTACAAAGCCAGCACACCTCATAAAGAGAAGGTTTCGTTCTTTAGCAGCAGAACCCAGATTCCCGCTGTCACATGGTACAAGGGTACAGCATTTGTGAGTAGGGTTTTGCTTTACTCTGTCCTGGGAATGCACAACTCTTGCTCTGCAGGCCTATGGCTGACTGTAAAAAAGGTACGCAAGACTCAAGGATCATTCCCCTGCTATCATTCCACTTACATCTCTGCACCTCAACAGAGAAGCAGGTGGGGCTGGAAGGCTGCTACTGAGCAAAATAGGTAGTCCTGCAATGTAAAAATTGAAAAATGCACATGCACCACACCAAGGCCCAAGAACACTACCGAGGGAAGAGCTATCCAAGCTTCAACATTTCCTGCTGAATAATCGTGTCACTGGGTGCACCAACTGGTGAAAACGTATTACTAAAGCAGCATGAAGAATGTTCTCATTAAGGAAGAGAGCTTATGTCCATTACCACCCATCCATATAATTAGGGTAACAGCCGGACCATGGGTCAGTCACATGGTTGGGGGTAGTTTTGTTTTCCCTAGCCAAAAACCTACCAGACACTGGAGACACAGAACAGAACATATGGGCTGTGCTGGACTACTAGCTTCTGGTGCCACCGAGTCTGGTAGACTCCATCATCCTGTGCATGCTATAACAGTCTCTATGGGTGGATCTATAATTCTAAAGAGAGCTAAAGAATCAGCTAAACAGCTAAAGAGTCTGAGCAAAAGAGCTATGAGCGAGAGTGAGAGCTGTTAGCAGACAGTAAAACTGCCCTAAGAAAGGCCACCTTGGTTAGTGGAACATTCAAGACCATTAAAAAGGAGACAATCTTAACACCTGTAGAATGAAGAACAATGAATCATGAAGTCAGCCGACTCCCTCAGCTGTCTGAACCATACCATAGTTGCTGCACTGTAAAGCAGGAATCAAACTCGAGTACTTCCAGCCGCGTGCAGAAAATTAGCTTCCCTGCTTAATACATGCACCCCAATCTTGGGGGATGCTTTTTTGAGGAAAAGGTGCATGTTGTATGTGAGAAAACGTGGTAAGTGGGATCATTCAAAAGGCCATGGTAAATGGATGTGAAGACAACAAAGTAAAGCACTAAAGCATAAGGACTTGAGAGTGTTAAGTCAATACACCCTTAGCTGTGCCCTAATATATGTAGTCATTACAATACAGTATTTAACTTCATGATTATATAATCTAAGGAGCCAATCACCCATTCAAATGAGCAGAATGGGAAGTACATAGTGAACAAAGTAATTCTTAGTTGTCTCTTTCCCCATAAACTGCACATCAAACAACCTCTGTGCCACAGACGACAAAGAACCTCTGCAGGATAAGCTAGGAAATCTGGTGGTCACACCAGATGACAAAGCTAACTTCTAACAATTTATTTGCCTCCATCTTTTTGAGCAGGGACCGGGGCATCCCCCCCACTGGGATCCCCAACGGACCCAGGGGAGGCGCTGCCAAGCCCAGGGTCAGAGAGGACCTAGTCAGGGAACTTCTGGTGGGTCTAGATGTGTCCAAGTCAGCAGGTCCCAACGATCTCTACCCCAGAGTGCTGAGGGAACTGGCAGAGGTCACAGCGGGACCCCTGGCACGGCTTTATGAGCGCTCGTGGTGCTCTGGTGAGGTGCCGAAGGACTGAAAAAGGGGCAATGTGGTTCCCATTTTCAAAAAAGGGAGGAAGGAGGACCCAGGAAACTACAGGCCTGTTAGTCTTACCTCAGTCCTGGGGAAGCTTTTTGAGAAAATTATCCAGGAGCACATCTGCGAGGGCCCAGCAGGGGAAATCATGCTTAGGGGCAACCAACATAGGTTCATTCAAGGCAGGTCCTGTCAGACCAACTTGGTGGCCTCCTACGACCAGGTCACAAAATCCTTGGATGCAGGCGTCACGGTGGACATAGTCTTTCTGGACTTTAGGAAGGCCTTCAACACTGTCTCTCACCCCATTCTCATTAAGAAATTAGGTGACCATGGCATTGATGCCTAGTCAGATGGGTTGCAAATTGGCTGGAGGGCTGCACCCAGAGTGGCGGTGGACAGGCCTTTTTCAATCTGGAGGGACATGGGTAGTGGGGTCCCCCAGGGCTCGGTGCTCGGGCCCGCACCATTCAGCATCTTCATCAGCGACTTGGCCGAGCGGGTGAAAAGCACCTTGTTCAAATTTGCAGGTGACACTAAATATGGGGAGAAGTGGGCACGCTGGAGGGGAGGGACAGGCTGCAACTAGATCTAGACAGGTTACAGGGGTGGGCAGATGAGAATAAGATGGGATTCAATACTGACAAGTGCAAGGTACTGCACCTGGGGGAGGAAGAACCAGCAGCAGACCTACAGGCTGGGGAACTCCCTTCTCATCAGCACAGAGGCAGAAAAGGAACTTGGAGTCATTATTGATTCCAAAATGAACACGGGCCGACAGCGTGGGGACGCAGTCAAGAAGGTCAACCACACCTTGTCATGCATCCACAGATGCATCTCGAGCAGGTCCAAGGAGGTGATCCTCCCCCTCTATACGGCACTGGTCAGGCTACAGGTGGAGTACTGCGTCCAGTTCTGGGCGCCGCATGTCAGGAGGGATGTGGACAGCATGGAGAGGGTCCAGAGGAGCCCACTCGCATGATCAGGGGGCAGCAAGGCAGGCCCTACAAGGAGAGGCTAAAGGACCTGAACCTGTTCAGCCTCCACAAGAGAAGGCTGAGGTGGGATCTGGTGGCCGTCTATAAACTGGCCAAGAGGGACCAGCAAGCTATGGAAGTGTCCCTGCCCCCCCCCCACCCCGAGCACTACCGGGAGTAACGAGTAATAACGGCCATAAATTGACCAAGAGTAGATTCAGGCTAGAAAATCAGGAAGCACTACTTCACAGTCGGGGTGGCTAGGACCTGTAACCAACTTCCAAGGGAAGCGATGCTTGCTCCTACCCTGGGGGTCTTCAAAAGGACCCCCAGGATAATCACCTAGCTGGGGTCGTTTGACTCCAGCATTCTTTCCTGCCCATGGCAGGGGGTTGGACTTGATGATCTGCTCAGGTCCCTTCCGACCCTACCTACTATGAAACTCTGCCTTATCCCCAAGGCAGTTCCGTCTCATTCACTCTGCACCACCCAGTTTCTGAAATGGCTCTTCTGGAAAATTCACAGTATGAAGGTTTTGTAATTAGACATTAATGCAAAGCATAAACTCAAGGAAGGCGAGGGGAAGATGAGCATGTGGACAGTCTACTTTACCCTTGCAATTCCAAACTTGAGTCCATGATCTTTAAATGCAACATTTGGAGACTTACTTTTAAAAAAATAAAACTAGAAAAATGTGGCTATGCAGAACACTCTGCATGTTGTAGAGAGTTAATTGCTCTGTTCTACCCAGTACGCTACAGACTGGGACAGCAATCCTTCAAAGCCCAGTCTTTTTCCAAACAACATTCTACACAAGTTTCTCTTCACTTTACAGTCCCAAGGTCTGTAAAATGGTTAAATAGTTGAATCCTCTCCAAAGATTTCCACTGAAATACATGCACTTTCATATAATGCTAGTGGAACACTGGCAGGTTAGGAATTGATAAAAGGCAAGAGAGTACGTTTTTTAAATCTTAAAGCTTCAGCCAAATCAAAATGTATTTTCACCAGACTATGAAAAGGTTTATGACAGATGCATCAATGGCATACTTATCAAAAGATACCAGAGCAAGCAGTTATGATGCAACTCTGATTCTGCAGTGAAACGAGTGTAGCAAAACCATTCCAACTTTAACCCTCCTTAATTTAGGCAGGTTCACACAGCTGTAACCGTGGCATAATAGAAGCACTTGTTAAGAGCAGAGCAGGAACTCTCCTTCCCCTTTTTAAAAAAGCTAAAACGAATGTTTTTCCACACCCCGTCTCATTAAGTCACTGTTTCTTACAAGTTCCTTCCACTGTCTGCCATAGAACCTGGACCCAATTTTGAAAAATCATAGCTTCAAGGGCAAAAATGTCTTCCCTAGCTCTTGTTCCAAAAGCAGCTGAGCTTTCCAGAAAGTCTATTTCCAGATGAAGGAGAAATGTGTAGAATTTCAGCCCAAGATGACACTTCTACTGTTATGAGCAATTTAAGAACTGTCCAGTAGACGGAAAATGTAATCATAACCTGGATTACAGGGGAAGTTCTAGACCCTGCCTACAACAAAACAACAGGGTTTTTAGACTAAAAACTCTGTCCTAGTTCTAGCAGTGTGATAGCAGGATACAGAGATTTGGAAGGAAGTCCTACACCTTGAATACAAAAGAGCATGGCTCTTAAATAAGGAGAAGCAGCCAGGAAGATCAGACTCCTTTGGCAGCTATTCTCAATAGAAACCAAGGTCTCCAAGTCTCTCTCTAAGATAGCAGTTGTGCACATGAATACTTACCTTGGCATCAAGGATGCTCCCTCAATCACTGCTGAGGAAATCATAAAAGCTAGCAAGATGAGGGGTGCTACTTCACATAAGAAATTCCCACCATCATAAATCTGAATGGAACTAGTAACAGGTAAAGGGTAGCACGTGTTTTCACCCAAAAGGGAAAAATCCTCTAACCTATTCTGAGGGGTTAGGATCCAGCATATAGTTTGGACTGACTCACCTCAAAGTCTTTCTATGTGAGGATTACTGAAGTCTGACTCCCACATTACATATCCCATATCCACATGTTTTTTTGATTCGAGTCTTACATGCTGCTCAGGTCCCAGGTTGATGGAAATGGCACATGGTCAGATAGACGAGAAGTTGGTTCTCAAGGGCTGGAATGGGATGCAGCAGAAGGATTGATCAATCCTGATACTGTGCTCCCCTTGACCCCCCCCTCCCCCCAACCCAAAAATGGAGTTCTGGGATCAGGATAATGATGTTTTCATACTTTAGTTATTTGTAAGCTCTCCTGCCCTGTGGACTGGCTCTCCTGGAGCCTTCTGGAGTTGGGACAGAAGGGCCTCTGGATTGCTCCACCTCATATTTGCTCAAGTGTCTGCAGACTGTTTTGAGCCACGTTTTCCAGTCATCTGTTAGGATGAAAGAATTTGTCAGATTAGTTCTGGGACAAGTAGAATCAGAGGTGCTGTGGACTTCAGCCACTGGGTGGCAAAGTAACATCCTCCCTGTCCACCCCCACCCCCTGCCAATTCTCTCACTGTCTCACACACTACTTGACATTCTTACAGGCAACAGATCTGACTATGGACTCAGACATTACATTCAGGGACTTCTGAAGTGGAGACCATCAAGCCCCAGGGATACCACTTTTTTCTGGAGAAGTGACTTTTCCAGCATTCTTGTATGCACTCTACCACACCCACACACCCACCCCTATACCACCCCATTGGTCACTTAATAGTTTCTCAGCTCCCTCCCTAATCTTCACTCTCCCTGCCACACACACTTCATCCTCACCTCCCACGAGTGCCTCTATAGCACTTGCTGAAACTCTAAGCCAATCGCACTTCTCCCACACGAGTTATCACACACACTGGAAAGCACCCAGTACATATCCCTTCACGCCCCTTCCCTAAGAGGATGAGCTTGAATTGTCACCGGTACCAGCACCAGTCACTCTGGCTCCTGGGGATTCCTAACATTAGCTTGTAGCTGCAGAAGGAAAGCCAGGGCAACCTAAGACATAGTAGGGAAGCTCCCCACCATAAGTGGAATTTCAGTGGCCTGCATCTTAAATATCCTATTTCCAGCCTCTGTGCTAGGGATGGCTCTAACCCTAATTAGTTCTTTCAGCAATGAGCTTCCCCTATTAGGGTTACACAGAGAGGGAATCCCAAAGCAACAGGCTATGTACAGACATATTAGCAATCCCTCCAAAAGAGATGAAAAGAAGTAAATAATTCTTGAGGATGTGCATCCTCTGCTCCGTGTGCCAAATCCCAGCCACCCCCTCGCCTTGGAATGAGCTCTACTAAGCAGTAGCTGTTATGTACATGAATCTCAGCTCCCTTCTTTGGAGAGTGTCCCTTCAAAGTAACAGGTGAATCCTGGGACAGATACGGGTGGGGGAGGTCTCCTTAGGCCGACTCGCCAGCAGCAACAGAACCCACAGCTTTCTTCTTGGGGCGAGCTTTTATGCTCTTTAGTGGAGGCTGTAAAAGGAAGAAAAAAAAACGGTATATCAGCTCACTGTAGAACAGGGGCAGGCAATGTTTTTGCCCGGAGTGCCAAAAAACCCACAATGTCTCCCTTGTAAGGTGCCAGAGTGCCAGCATGCCAGAAAAACAAAACCGGGGCAAGGGGTACATGCCAGGACACACTGCATATTAAAATAGTTAATAAACCTAAATGTCCCCTCCTTAAAAAAGAACAAACAAAACAAACCAAAACCAAACCAAACCAGTAAATACCAGGTTTTCTAAAAAGTCTAAGCCTGGTAACAACAAATAAAGCTTCATGTACTGCCTTTGTTATTTTTATTTTTGTTAAGCATGTTGTGATGAGAGGGGAAAAAAAAAAAAGAGCGCGAAAGTGGGAAAGAGAAAGAAAAAAAAGAAAAGAAAGAAAAAGGAGAGAAGACAGAGAACTAGACACGTGCACATGCACAGAACCACACGTGCGCAAATGCACACAGACCAGACACACGCACACACACCCAGAACCAGACAGACACGCACAGTGACGCAGAGAGGGATGGCCGGGCTGCTGGACTGCAGAACAAAGTCCAAGCTGACAATGCCCCAGGCCTACCACAGCCTGTTTCACCAGGGAGCCGGCTCACAACCTGCAGTGTGGCCCGCCGAGGTCCCAGCCCAAAGCCCGCCCATCAGCAAACTGCAGAGGCAGCGCTAGGGGGACTATGGCCACCCTAACATTTGCCTTAGCCACCCCCTCCCCATTGCTCCCCCTCCCAGCATGACCGCCACCTGGCACAAAGCCCGGCTGGGGCTCTCAAATCCATAAGTTTCTTGTTACTGGAGTGTGTCCTTTACACAGCGACACAGAAAAAAACCCACATTTTAAGACCTGCTACTCCAGCTTTTCTGCTATCTGACTGACATCCTCAATCCTGCTCTTCCAGAAAGAAGTGGAGCGTACAACTGACCATCTCATTCTAGATCCCTGGGAAAGGAATACCAATAACAACTGGAGACGGATTCAGACTCCCTAACTGAGAGCTCGGCAAGGCAAAAACCTAAGATTCAAGACAGCACGTACAGCAGACTATTCACGCACTAAGTATCGTATTCCCAAATGCAGCAGTTTGTGCCGTGTTAAGAAAGTTAGCATCAACTTTTATAACGCAGAGAAACAGCATCTCTCTCGACTATAATCCAAAGTATTAAAAACGAGAGAGAGAAGGAATTAGCATGAGGACACTACTGGGATGACTGTACTCATTCCCACACAAGGCTGGCCTTAGTGATACAATTAAGAGATTAAGGGCAGGATAACATCTGAATCATCTCAAGAGGCAAAGATGCCAATGGGAGGAACAGAGTGAATACAGCATTGGTTCAAAGACTTAACAGAGCAACAGGATCAATCTATCTACCACTGGCATTTCTAAGAGTCCCACCAAGCCCTACGAGGAGAGACTGGGGCACCTGGACCTCTTGAGCCTCCGCAAGAGAAGGCTGAGAGGCGACCTTGTGGCTGCCTATAAGTTCATCACGGGGGCACAGAAGGGAATTGGTGAGTATTTATTCACCAAGGCGCCCACGGGGGTTACAAGAAATAATGGCCACAAGCTAGCAGAGAGCAGATTTAGATTGGACATTAGGAAGAACTTCTTCACAGTTCGAGTGGCCAAGGTCTGGAACGGGCTCCCAAGGGAGGTGGTGCTCTCCCCTACCCTGGGGGTCTTCAAGAGGAGGTTAGATGAGTATCTAGCTGGGGTCATCTAAACCCAGCACT